TTATACAGCAATCTGCTCTACAACTTCGTTGGCTTCTCCCTCTTGTCCGTTCCCCGTTTGGTCGATCCGGTCTGGTCCTTCCTTGGTTGTCCTTCCTTCTTCGGTCCTTTTCTGGGATCCCGGATCCTCGTCTACCTTTACTTTTCCCTGATCTTCGTCCTCTACCTTTCCGCCATATTGACAGTGTTTTCAGAAACATATTTGCTGCCATTGATCTCCTGCCACACTCCTTTGACTCCGTTTCTATTAACCACCCCACATGCCTCTCCTTGCCTCTCCCCTCTATCTGCCTACCCTCCTCTCTCATACCACGGACTTGGCGGCATCTTCTCGTCACTGACGCTTTTGTCGTAGATGATTCATTGCAAGTACTTCGTCGTCGAACAAGACCCGAGCGTCCCCAATCCCCTCGCATCATCACCAAGTTCTTCCGTCAAGTCGACAACCATTCCGTTCTTTTACAACCTTTCTTCTTCCGCTCTCTTCTCCCACATTCCTTGCTTGATGGTCTCCTTCCTCCACCTTCCTCTCCCATTGTGTCGCATGTGGACCCCAGCCCCTTCCTCACCAGTATGTTTCCCATAATACCTCGCAAACCATTCTCACCCAAAACGTTCCGCACCCTTTGCACCCCGTCCCCAGACAACCCTGTCCCTCCTCTCCACACCCACCAATGGCGCACTTTCTGGTCCGCTCCCATCCACCATTCTGTCCGTTCTTTATGGTTCCGCGCTCTTCACAACAAGCTGTCGTGTCGCTCCGTTCTACACCAAACTGTCCCTACCATCTTTCCTGACGGGTCCTGCCCCATATGCGGTGACATCAAGGAATCTACATCTCACTTTCTGTTCACTTGTCCCCCAAAGTTCTCCGCCTGGACTATTTTTTGGTCAACCCATTTTGGCAACGTGCCCTCCACGCAAGACATTCATTCTGCTCTTTTTTCCTTCCGTCTCCCGCCATCCCTCACTCCAGACATTCCCGCCGTTTCTCTTGTCAGCTGTATCCTCCTCGCAATCTGGCGCCATCACTGGTCCTTTGTGTTTGACGATGCTCCTTTCCTGAGTACATCAGTCCTTGTCACTGCTGCTTCTCTTGTCACCCGTTTTCATGCGGAACTATCCCTGCCTCTTTCAGACTAGCTACTCACTCATTTTACATATAATTTAAAAACCCAAAAACACATAGAAAATATAAAACCCAAAAACAGGATTGTGACTTCCTCTTCCTCTTAGAATTGTTAAGCTCAATAAAATTTCTGAGGCCTAGCCTCCTTACAAAAAAAAAAAATCTTTAAACCCTCGTATGAGTAACAGTATCCCTGTCAATGGACCCTGCTATGATTCTTTTACTTGAGGATACACAAAGGCTGTCTGCACCACCAATCAGTAATACAAGTTTACAAAAAAAGACTTTTGTTTGTAGGAAGTCGAAGGCTCTAATTTATCAATGAGCCTCTACACAGTCTACAAGAAGACATAAAAAGCAAACCATCTTATACTCTATATTTTATAATGGTACAGCCAAGATATCGGTGGACAAGCTGGTTTGTGCGTCTATATGTGAAGAAAGACTGGGATATATACACTACACATATCTACCTTGGAGACAGGTATTTAACCCGCAAAAAAAAAAGAAAAAATGTCCTTATTAATTTAAATATTCCCATTTTTTCTTTTTTTCTTTTTACTTTTTTACACCAATTTACTATCATAATTTTAATTAATAAATCTGAAACAAAGACTTCAAGTATGCTATTTAATGGAACACATAAAAAGTATCCTATGTATTTTTCTTTTCTCTTAAAGAGCAATATTTAATATCATGACATATATTACACAGCCGTCCATTTCAAGAGTGTCTGCCAAAGTCATTGCCTTTTTTTTGGAAAAAAGATTGTGGCTTTATTTGTACTCCACTCCTTGCTTCCAGCGTATGCTTGTAATGTCAGAATATAGGACGGCTTTCTTCATATAAACGCTTATACAAGCTGATATTCTGTTATGTAGAGCCTATATAGATATATAGCTATTCTATAGTGTCTCATATGCTAAATAATATTCTCTTTTCTTTAAAAAAAATCTCTAACTTTTGAACACTCCAAATTGATGCTTTTTGGAGTGTCTGGTTTATGTATTCAACTAAAAAAAAAATGTACTTTTAGAAACAACTCGTATTTTTGCTATTGGGCATTTAAAGAGCTTATTGAAGTGGTGCAAGTTTCCCAAGTTTCAGGGTTCTATGCTTTTTGAGAGTGAAAAAATCGGATATTTTGATCAACATTTGAGTAATTGTAATATAATAAACCTCGAAGAGGTGGATCACAATGTGTCTCACCAGGTTACTTAAAGCCAAAAAAAAACATTGCTTATTTGATTCGATTTTTAATTTTCTATAATTGAAAAGTTATGTTTACCATTGGTGTGCATTTGCATATGCTTGTAGAAATTTTAAAAAAATTTCATTTCCAGTACACTCATATTTAATCGACCATAGAAAAGGTTCATTTATACAAAGGCTCCGTGCTTCAAACTAAAATAGTCTCAAGCGAACCAAAGCTAGACTATGAACCTCAAAGTAATAAGTGGAATCATACTATACAGTACTGTAGCGCATTATATTGTATTACAAAACAAAAGTTATAAATCAAAGCCTTTAATCCAACAGAGTATTATTTCTAGGTTATTCGTGCATCCAGTTGAGCTTGGTATACAAGCGCAAAATATCAAAAGCACTAGATCCTATAAATCGATAATTAGTAATTGATAGCGTCTTGCTCCCAACCAAACAAAATCTATACGTTCAGTGTCAGTAGATTGTCTCTTTGCTTTCATATTGTGCCGTCAGTCAGTCTGAGCAATAACAGGAAAAAATAGTAAATAAGCAGAGCCTTTAAAAGGTGATTTATATATATGTAATAGCCATTTTACTAGCTTGATCTATCTGTGACCAGGCTAGCACAATTGCAAGCACCACTACTTTTTCATGGTGTATAATGTAACTTATATAAATAATTATAATTATCGATAGAATGGTGTATATTTGAACACATATAAATGTAAAGTGTTTCAGGCAGTTGGGTTATGCTGTATTAATTTCTCGGTTGGATTATGATTGGTTTATAAAGTAGTACAAACCAAGGTCGATTGACAAACACTAGGCTAGACCCTGTTCTTCTTTTTACTTTTATTTTACTCTAAGAACGATGCTTTAACTTGAGGTACCAACGACTTTCAATAGTCAGGCTGTCAATCCCTTCATACTGAAGCACTGAAAGTACTTTTATTTCAAGAAAGTATTCCTACACTTTGTGTTTATTAACTCAAGACACTGGTGAAAAAGCTAGAAGAAAAATGGAAGTCTTTCACACGAAAGAAAAGAAAAGATATAAGCAGCAATTTTTTTCGGGGGTGCTTCTTAAACTAATAAAGTCACAGCATGTGAAACAAACAAACAAGAAAACAAACAAATAAATATACACAAGACTTTAATTAAAGCTTTATAATCAACACAACTTTACACTTCTTTATTGTAGTTTAACGTCTAGCCGATTAATACTTTGTATATCAGTAGTACAGCTAAAATGAACACAGAGGCATATATAGTGTCTCGACAAGTGGCTGTTCAAAAGCATAAGCCTTGTTAACAGAATCACAACAGAAAGTAGAATAAAAAAGGGGATGGGGGTCCATAGCAACTGAATAATTTGACATGCATATAGTCCACCAATCGGAAGACATCATTTAAATGTTTTCATGCTAAAGTAAAGTCTGGACCACTATTGCTACTATGCTCCTCTAAGCCCCATGACACATGTGATGCTGCACGGACAGCACGGACCTTATGTGACATAAAAAGAGCTAAAACAAAAAAAGAGGCAAAAGAAAAAAAAAACAAAAAGTAAAACAAGTGCCTGCACAGCACGTCCTTCAGAATAGAAGTGATACTTCTTTAAAACCCAAAACCCATATTTTAAGCATAGATATTAAATAAAGAAGTAAAATAGTAATAATATATACATGTTGTCAAGGCTAAAAGATAAAAGAAAACCGAAAAAGGAATAAGAAAAAAACCGAATTTTATAATATATTATCAAACTATCATAATAAAAATAATAAAAAAGAACAGCAACTCATGATTGAGACGTCATGAGTTTTATAAAAAAAAACACCTATCCAAACAGAACGCGTCAAAACAACTCTCTTCCACATACCATTAATACTTTATACACTTCTTTACTGCTCTCTCACAAACTGCTTTAATCAACATAGACGTTAAAGACGAATCATAACCAATACAAATCCATTTTGCTAGTCAAATCTCAGGATTTTATCATATGTAAAACAGTCAGTAGCAAGATATAAGACAATACGTCAAAACCAGTACACAGCGAAAATGAAATACTGAGGTCCAACACTGGTTTGACCATCAATCCATCCAAAGCCTATTCACACTCAGAAACAAGAGATAAACTGACAGGACTTACTATATTTCAAGGAGTATATGATATTCATCAAAGACACAAATTGTGAAGATTATATTTGTCTAGTCTTTTGACAAACAAGGTCAACGATAAAAAATAAGATCTCCATCCAGGCCTACAGGTATATAAAGGCTCGTTGATTAATCATTCACTGTCTTTGATATTTCTGTAGGGACTTTTCAGGCAAAGTCAAGCAATCAAAAACAGGTTTCCATCCAGGGCCACAGGTACACCAAGACTCGAGGAGCATATGCTCATTGTCTTTTGTATGCTTCTAGTGCCTTCCGTCCAGGTCAAGCATCAGGGATCCGATCAGAGTCCACGGTTATCAGGTATATCAAAACTCTATGAGCAGTTACTCACTTGTTTTTGTATATTTGTAGTATCCATTCCATCCAGGTCAAGCTTCAAGGTTCAGGTCAAGGTCCACGGTTATCAAGTATATCAAAACTCTATGAGCAGTTACTCATTTGTTTTTGTATATTTGTAGTATTCATTCCATCCAGGTCAAGCTTCAAGGTTCAGGTCAAGGTCAACGGATTCAGGTCGAGGTCCACGGTTTCAGGTATATCAAAACTCGATGAGCAGTTACTCACTTGTTTTTGTATATTTGTAGTATCAAATTCCATCCAGGTCAAGCATCAAGGATCCGATCAGAGTCCATGGTTTTCATGTATATCAAACCTAGATGAGCAGTTACTCATTTGTTTTTGTATATTTGAACTATCCATTCCATCCAGGTCAAGCTTCAAGGTTCAAGTCAAGGTCCACCGTTTCAGGTATATCAAAACTCGATGGGCATTTACTCACTTGTTTTTGTATATTTGTAGTATCCATTCCATCCAGGTCAAGCGTCAAGGTCCAGGTCAAGGTCCACGGTTTTCAGGTATATCAAACCTCGATGAGCAGTTACTCATTTGTTTTTGTATATTTGAACTATCCATTCCATCCAGGTCAAGCTTCAAGGTTCAAGTCAAGGTCCACCGTTTCAGGTATATCACAACTCTATGAGCAGTTACTCATTTTTTTTGTATATTTGTAGTATCCATTCCATCCAGGTCAAGCTTCAAGGTCCAGGTCAAGGTCCACGGTTTTCAGGTATATCAAAACTCGATGAACAGTACTCACTGTTTTTGTATATTGTAGTATCCATTCCATCCAGGTCAAGCTTCAAGGTCACGTCAAGGTCCACGGTTGTCAGGTACATCAAAACTCGATGAGCAGTTACCCACTTGTTTTTGTATATTTGTAGTATCCAATCCATCCAAGAAAAGCATCAATGTTCCGATCTCCCAGCTATGGTCATAGTTATAACAAAACCATATGTGCATTTACTCACTAGCTTTTATCTATTACTAGTTTCAGCCATCCAGGTCAAGTGTCAAGGACCCGATTTCCCGGCAATGGGTATAGGTATAACAAATCGTTGTGGGAATATAGTCACTAGTTATAATATATTTATAGTGTTCAGCCATCGATATCAGGCGTCAAGGTTGCGATCTTCCAGCCAAGGTTATAGGTATAACAAAACATTATGGAAATATACTCACTGGTCTTAATATGATTTTAGTGTTCAGTCATCCAGGTCAATCAACAGGATTCTGATCTCCCGTCCATGGTTATAGGTATAACAAAACGTTGTGGGAATATACTCACTAGTTTTAATATATTTATAATGTTCAGCCATCGATGTTAGGCGTCAAGGTTCCGATCTTCCAGCTATGGTTATAGGTATAACAAACCATTAGGGCAATATACTCATTGGTCTTAATATGATTTTAGTGTTCAGTCATCCAGGTCAATCAACAGGATTCTGATCTCCCGTCCATGGTTATAGGTATAACAAACACG